CAGTTTGGTTCCAATTACAGATCTTTTCAAAATGTGTCTGGATGCAATGATAGTTTAAAGTAGATTTTAAACCCTAAATGGTCTATCAGACAACTGGCCTGTTTTTTTTTTTTTTTTCTCCATAAAATAGATTTGATCATTTTCCTATCTTTATATCTATTATTGCTGCTGATCGCCTCCAACCACTTTCAGCACTTCCTGTCTACATGCACTGACTACACATCATTACTCTGGATCGGTTTGCTGATGGTGACAATAATGGACTATGTCTGTGCAACATATTTTAGCTTTTGTAGCCTCCACCAGGAGTTGGCGTGGCAATTCAGGGCTTCATCTAGGAGACAGTTGTCACCCCATAACTAAACTCCAGAACAAGGACTTTCATGGCAGAATCATCAAATACTAACTTTTTAAAAATCCGCACATTTAAAAAGAAAAGAACTATGCTGAAAGTATGAGGACATTGAAAATTAGCTAAATTACACAAGCCAACACACATTTTGGTGCCTTGAATGTTAGACCTGTTCCTGGGTATATCTGACCCATCAGCTTGAGTTTATGAGATACAACATAAACACCATATAGCAAGCATGAAACACAAAGCAGCCATAACCTACAAGAATGAAAGGATAGGAGTGGCAATATGCATTCACTTCATATACAATCACAATTATAATACAGTTAATAACTTACACTTTAGAATCCAATGTTACCGATGTAAAATTACAGCTGGATCTATGATAACACTCTCACTATATCTGCTAACTTGTACACAAAAACAAACTAGGTAACAGAAGAACAAGTTGATCAACAAGATCTTTTCAACAACGGACTAAGAAATTATAAAAAACATATCAAAGAAACTAGAGCTCAGGCAGTCTAGCCAATGCAATTTTCTGAATCAGCTCCCCAAATAACACCAAGAACAAGTCTTAAAAGCAAACCAAGAAAAAAAGTGTTTTTTGTTGGGCTGTGTTATTCGTAAATCAAAGTTTGTTTCCCTGGCAAACAGGCCTGAGGGCAATGGAAGAAAGATGCTCATGCCCTCCCAATGTAAAAAAAACCATGAAATCATATACCTGTCAGGTAAGGTTAGTTCTGACAGCTCATTTGGACATCCAGAACATATTTCTATAAACATCCATTGCTGGACCATCCAATAACTCATGTTTATGTCAGTAATGGAGAAGCACTACTAGATACCTTTAAACACTGGCATATGAGCAATCAGATTAATAAATCCATCTAAAAGATTATTGGTGGCACCCATGGACACAACTAGAATTAAACCAACAGTTTCTTTTTGAAAATCCTAATTAAGAAAACAGATATTACATTTGGATTGTGAAATCAAAAACTTCCCCATTCCTTAGAAGCAAGGAGCAGAACTAACCAGAAAGCATTAATTTGAGTGAAGTCCTGCAAATGAAGCAGATAAAAGAATTTTGCTTACACACTATAAATTTGTTGTGTCAGAAGTATAAGCTTCAAAACACCTGTGAAAGTGACCTCTAGACAGGGACACATAACCCAACTACAACCGGAATATCAGATCCATGTACAGAACATTAAACCCACTAAATGTACAATTCTCTTACGTAGATGAGAGTAAAGTCTACTTTTCAAACACAATTTTAAAAGTAATTACATAGTCACATAGTTTGAACTGGATGGATTTTTCTGTTTTTCAGCCAGACTACCATTAAAAAAAAAAAAAAAGTTATAATTCTATACCCACATTTGGTCCAGAGGAAGGCAAAAAAAACCCCCAGCAAAGCATGATCCAACTTGCTCCTGCGGGGAAAAAAAAAATTCCTTCCTGATCCCCGGAGAGGCAATCGGATATTCTCTGGATCAACTAAAAGTAGAAAACTAAAATGTAATGTTGTATAGATCTTAGCCAGAGCATTTTACAGAGTATAAAATAAACCAACGGTGGACAAATTTACTGTATATGGAATTCAGGAGTCAGTAAACCTAATCCAGGTGCCACCTTTAATTTATAAGTAGCATGCTAGCTTAAAACCAACTAGCCTTAAAATATATCTCCTTCCTAACACCTATGCTGACTAACCCTGTGAACAAGGTATTTGAGCATTTTCTATGCAGTCTGACTGCAGTTCCATCTGCAATCACTAGATGGGCACCATGTAGAAACAGGATTTCCTAAATTACTAATCACTCTCAAAGCAATAAACCTGAAGTACAGACTACCATGGCCCAACTGCTGTGTTCACATCAAACTGTGTAAAACATTGTAAAGGGAGCGGTTTCAAACAGAAATATTGATTTGTACACAATAATTTAAAATACTATGGTAATATTAGTTTCCTGGGATGTGATATACTAAGTGGTCCTGAAATTTTAACTTCACAGTATCCTCACTGCCTGCCTGGTGGCAAATCCTTTTTGAGATTATGCAAAGACGTCTGCATTTTCTCTTGTATTATGTAATGCCCTAGTTCAGGTTGTAAGTGCAAATACAAATGCAGTATATTAGACTCCAGGGATATGAGAGACACACAGAGGGCATGAGGTTATAACTTACATTATCATGGCATTTAAAAAAAAAAAAAAAATTATATTTATATATATAATATATATAATATATATATATATATATATATATATATATATATATATATATATAATACATATACACACATACACAACATACAATATACAGTGGGGATCGAAAGTTTGGGCACCCCAGCTAAAAATGTATTAATGTGCATAAAGAAGCAAGGAAAGATGGAAAAATCTCCAAAGGGCATCAAATTACAGATTAGACATTCTTATAATATGTCAACAAAAGTTAGATTTTATTTCCATCATTTATACTTTCAAAATAACAGAAAAAAAAAAAAATGGCGTCTGCAAAAGTTTGGGCACCCTGCAGAATTTATAGCATGCACTGCCCCCTTTGCCAAGCTGAGATCTGCCAGTGTCATGGATTGTTCTCAATCATCGTCTGGGCGAAGACCAGGTTATGTCAATCTCAAAGGTTTTAAATGCCCAGACTCATCTGACCTTGCCCAACAATCAGCACCATGGGCTCTTCTAAGCAGTTGTCTAGAAAACTGAAACTGAAAATAGTTGACGCTCACAAAGCTGGAGAAGGCTATAAGAAGATAGCAAAGCGTTTTCAGATGTCAATATCCTCTGTTCGGAATTAATTAAGAAATGGCAGTCATCAGGAACAGTGGAAGTTAAAGCAAGATCTGGAAGACCAAGAAAAATATCAGACAGAACAGCTCGCAGGATTGTGAGAAAAACAATTCAAAACCACGTTTGACTGCACGATCCCTCCAGAAAGATCTGGCAGACACACTGGAGTTGTGGTACACTATTCCACTATAAAGAGATACTTGTACAAATATGGTCTTCATGGAAGAGTCATCAGAAGAAAACCTCTTCTACGTCCTCACCACAAAAATCATCGTTTGAACTTTGCAAATGAACATATAGACAAGCCTGATGATTTTGGAAACAAGTTCTGTGGACCGATGAGGTTAAAATTGAACTTTTTGGCCGGAATGAGCAAAGGTACGTTTGGAGAAGAAGGGGCACAGAATTTAATGAAAAGAACCTCTGTCCAACTGTTAAGCATGGGGGTTGGATCAATCATGCTTTGGGGTTGTGTTGCAGCCAGTGGCACAGGGAACATCTCACGAGTAGAAGGAAAAAATGGATTCAATAAAATTTCAGCAAATTTTGGATGGTAACTTGATTGCCATCTGTGAAAAAGCTGAAGTTAAAGAGAGGATGGCTTCTACAAATGGATAATGATCCTAAACACACCTCGAAATCCACGGGGGATTACATCAAGAGGCATAAACTGAAGGTTTTGCCATGGCATTCACAATCTCCTGACCTCAACATAATTGAAAATCTATGGATAGACCTTAAAAGAGCAGTGCGTGACAGACAGCCCAAAAATCTCAAAGAACTGGAAGACTTTTGTAAGGAAGAATGGGCAAAGATACCTCAAACAAGAATTGAAAGAATCTTGGCTGGCTACAAAAAGCGTTTACAAGCTGTGATACTTGCCAAAGGGGGCAGTACAAGATATTAACTCTGCAGGGTGCCCAAACACTTTTGCAGACGCCATTTTTTTGTTTTCTGTTATTTTGAAAGTGTAAATGATGGAAATAAAATCTAACTTTTGTTGACATATTTATAAGAATGTCTAATCTGTAATTTGATGCCTTTTGGAGATTTTTCCATCTTTCCTTGGCTTCTTTATGCACATTAATACATTTTTAGCTGGGGTGCCCAAACATTTCGATCCCCACTGTACATACACACACACACATACACACAATCTTGCTTAGGGACACAGCTCTATTTTCTTTATTATTTTTTGGTCTGTGGTAGTCTGCAGAAATACAGGTTTATGGTTTTGTGAGTGTTCAGTAATTATACTGGAGACTCCAGACACTAGCAGAGTTTTTGTAGGCCCTGATCTAATTTAATTTTGCTAATTTCCTCAATCAGTTGCAAGCATCTCCTCCGTGCTGTGGTGTCTTGTGTAAAAGACTAAGAGAGCATAATGGTCAGTACTGTGTGTGGAAATGTAAAATAAAAAAAAAAAAACAGGGCAAAGAAAACCAAGATTTAGATGGGTCTCTTTTATATAATATATATATATATATATATATATATATATATATATATATATATACATACACATACACACACATACACCGTATTTTTCACTCCATAAGACGCACCTAAGTTTTAGGGGCAGAAAACAGGAAAAAAAAAATATTCTGAACCAATGGACTGCAGATATAGTACAGGAGATGACCAGAGACTGCGGCCATAGTACAGGAGATGACCAGAGACTGCAGCCATAGTACAGGAGATGGCCAGAGACTGCGGCCATAGTACAGGAGATGGCCAGAGACTGCGGCCATAGTACAGGAGATGGCCAGAGACTGCGGCCATAGTACAGGAGATGGCCAGAGACTGCGGCCATAGTACAGGAGATGGCCAGAGACTGCGGCCATAGTACAGGAGATGGCCAGAGACTGCGGCCATAGTACAGGAGATGGCCAGAGACTGCGGCCATAGTACAGGAGATGGCCAGAGACTGCGGCCATAGTACAGGAGATGGCCAGAGACTGCGGACATAGTACAGGAGATGGCCAGAGACTGCGGACATAGTAAAGGAGATGGCCAGAGACTGCGGACATAGTACAGGAGATGACCAGAGACTGTGGACAGTACAGAAGATGACTTCAGATCTTTGGGGAGGGGGGGAGCGGGTACCTGAATTTGACAGGTACCCGCTCTTACTTCGTGGAGTTGTTCTTTGGTTAGTGTGCACTCTGCAGCGGGACCTTACCTGTTCCTCTATCCAGCCGCACGCGGTCTTCCTGGCTTCTGTAGTGTGGGCGCTCGGCTTGACAGCCGGGTGCCCAGTGCGCATGAGCAAGAAGCGCTGCGCTTTGTGATTGGTCCGGCGGCTTCTGGGACCTGTCATGTGTCCCAGGTGCTTCCTTACCATTCAAAAAGAGCACAGCTTCTTGCGCATGCGCACTTGGCACCCGGCTGTCAAGCCGAGCGCCCACACTACAGAAGCCAGGAAGACAGCGCGCGGCTGGATAGAGGAACAGGTAAGGTCCCGCTGCAGAGCTGAGCGGCCGGCCCGGTATTCTGACATGGCGGCGGTGGAAATACCAGACAGGCCGCTCCATATTCGCTCCATAAGACGCACTGACATTTCCCCCCCTTTTTTGGGGGGAAAAAAAGTGCGTCTTATGGAGCGAAAAATACAGTATATATAGCTATCTATCTATATCTATTGCACATACATAAATACACACACACACACTTTGGGGTCTATTATTTATTGAAAATTTGCAGTGCGAATGCGTCTTTCACAATCATCATAATGTGTCTAATCGGTTTATTTTTTATATTCATCAGCTCCATCTAGTAATCAGAACACAGGGTTTTCCTGATCAAGGTATTTCAGGAAAATACTTTATTATAGCCACTAAATGGAGCTGAAAATCATAGGAAATAAGACACATGACAGCGATTATTTGTGATGGATTTGTGAATGCTTGAGTCATAAATAGTCCCCTTAGAGTTGATGTGTAAATTTGTCAGCGGAATAAGACTGGCAACTGGCTGTAGTTTACTGGCTCCAACATTTTTCACCTGGCTACCACATCTCTAAGATTTCCAGGCCTATTACCCCAACATCTACTTACTGGCTCAGATTACAAAATCATGTAACTCATGTTGCTTGTACGATTCTGGGGTGTGTTCACAAATGTATGACACAGATCTGCCCCTACTGCAGCCTCTCATTTTGTGACTTGCTACAAAGTCACAGTTCCTTCCTCCTTCCAACAACATACTGATGACAAAGTCTAGGCAACATAATTACCTGAAGTTCAAAGACTTCTGCTCAATAATAAAAAGATGCTACTTTTTTTTTTCTAATTATAAAATACTGTATATGGTGACATGTCAAGAATTTACTTATGCAGACCTAAGAAGTTACTGAAAGGTCCACTAAAAACAGAATTCATCTACTACAGCCACAGACACTTCTGTGTTTTTTGAAGAATTTCTTCGCCCTTTAAAAACTTTCTTTCTATGGCTGCGTAGGAGGTGTTCTAGGTCAATCGCTGTTTGCTTACTTTTCTTATGCAAGCATATAATCAGTGTGATCCTAACTAGGTTCAGTTAAGTCTAAAAGATCTGTTTTTTGTTTGCTATATTGGATCGTGCCATTCATGTTTAAAATGAAGAGTCTACTTCCTGAATTTGACTGCATGCATTTCCATAGAGGGAAAGTTAGAAAGTAGCGCTTTAACAGTAGCAGAACTGTCAAATTATTGGTTTAGGTTCAAAAATATCTAACATCTTGAAATGATCAGTACACATCTTCGCTGGTTGCTTTTTTGACCTGAAAGCTGATGTACCTGTGCCCACAATCACTGAGCTATTCCCACAGTTTCCTAAGCAAAAGTATTCAGAGAAGACCAACACTTAATTTTACCGATAACAGATCATATACACAGAAGTAAACAATACTGTGTGTGGTGTTGTACGCATCTGTATCCATCAGTATAGAAGTCTATGAGCCCATTCACACAGCTGCACCTGGCAATGTATTGCCACATAAGGGTTAGAAGCCTAAAAATTTAAATGGAGCTGCTGCCGGGGTTGTAATTTCTACTGCATGTAAACACTGTACGCATGTAAATGTATGTGTCACTGCTGATTAGTGCCCATATGTAAAATATCAATATGTAGCCATTGATGCTATCCTTGTCGATTACTCACTATTGATGTCTACAAGTAGGTATGGAATGTCATTAATGCAGTGGTAGCAGTACATGTGAAGAATGACCTCAGCATGTAAGCAGCAATAGTGTGCAATCAGCTGGCACTGCCGTTTACACACTATCATGTACATATGAACCTGCCGCCACTGCCTAGCCAAGGACTCATTCACTCTTTAGGGGAGAAGTGTAAAGGGTGTGCAAGCTGCCTGTATGCATCCCAGCTTATACGGACAGAAATTTAGAAATTTGGAAATTTAGACACGGCACACACAACTTTTTATGCAGTTGTGCCTGTGTGAATGAGCCCTAAGGTTAAGTTCACACTATCGTGACTCTGCAAGCCGTGATCTGAACAGCCATGGCAGTCCAATTATTGAATGGGCTGAAGTGCCTTCAAAAACTCAGGGAAAAAGGTCCCTGCATAATTTTAGAAATCACAGCCTGCATGGGAACCACAAGTGCAGTATGGATGCCAGTGCAGGAGGTGACGTCTACACATCTCTTGCATTTCTCTGTGTGGGTAGTTAGCTGCGGGAACAGGTATGGTCTCACAGCGGCAAATCACCTGCACAAAATATGAACCTATCCTTAGGCAGCAAAATATTAGTAGTAAAAAGCATGCATCATGTTTCAACTGTCAGCTGAATGTAAAAGAAAGAATTGCCGGCAATTAAAAAATAAATAAAAAAAAAAAAAACGGCCCTTCGGGACTGGTATGGATTTTGAGAGTAAGCCCCATGCCAGAAGAAAAGAAAAAAAAAAAAAAAGAAGGGCGTAGGGTCCCCCCCCCCAAAAAAAAAATCCATAGCAGACCCTTATCCGAGCATGCAGCCCAGCAGGCCACATGCCCTCAACATGGGGGGGTGCCCCCCCCCCCAAAGCACCTTGTCCCCCCCTGTCCGCAGACCCCCACAACCACAGCCCAGGGTTGTGGGGAAGAGGCCCTTGACCCCCCCCCCCCCCCCTTTCCTGACCTGCTGGGCTGCATGCTCGGATGAGGGTCTGGTATGGACTTTGGGTAGGACTCCAAGCTATTTTTTTTTTTTTTTAATTTTTGGCGTGGGGCTTCCCCTCAAAATCCATACTAGACCAGAAGGGCTTGGTATGGATGGGAGGGAGGGACCCCACGCTGTGTATTATTTAATTGCCAGCAATTCTTTCTTTTACATGCAGCTGCCAGTAGGAATCCCGCTGATAGCTGAAACATTAATGCATGCTTTTCACTACTAAAATACCGCAGGACTTGATAAAATAACTAATGCGGTATTTTAGTAGCCTTTTTTTAGTGAATTTACGCTTCTAAAACACAAACGTGCATAAATGCAGCTAAACGCATTATGCAAACGTGGCTAAACTGACATTTTTTTAACGTACGTTTTCCAGCAGTCTGTTTCCATCGTTCAGAAGAGTTTTCCAAACTCCCTGTGTAGATGAACCCTAAGTCACTGCCCATGTGACAGTGGTCTAGCTTAAGCAGCCAAAGGCAAGGCCAGAACATGGGGGATATCACAAGCTCTCCCTTACCTTGGGAGGCACTGATTTTTACCTTTTTTTTTTTTCCAGGCTGAGTCTTGTATCTCAGTCTAAATTCTATGTAATCTATTCTTGTAACATTTCATGCAGCTCCTCATGGCCTTTTGGCTAAGATCAAGTGTAGTATCTGTTCTTATCAGTGTCCAGTGGGGGTGCTCCCGACCATTCTAGTTTTACGGGGATGGTTGTTGTATAGTACCCTCACTGGTATGATGGGGGTCCGGAAGGCTAGTACCGGAGGGACAGAAACCAGGGAGCGCCATGATTCGTTCTGGGGCCTTGGGAGTAATTCCTCTGGGGAGACCGGAAAGACCCAGTACCTCCTGATCTGAACGTGCTAACCTTGGTCTGGCCTGGGGCTGGGGACGCAAAAAGTCCGCAAACTCAGTGCCCCCTGGGGAAGACGCTCTCAGGGGTGTCACTAGTAACACTTGGGTGTGGGACCCCACGGTGTGAAGATGACACATGGCCACTGTTTTTTTCACTTCTTTTTGCACAGCGCCCTAAGGACCAGGTCTTTTGGCTAAGTCCAGGGCAATTTTTGCTACAGGCCTCAGGGCCTGGTCTGTGCACTATTAGGCACGGTACCACTTTTTTATTTTATTCTATTTATTTAAACCACTCCCACGTTTTGTCACTTTTTCTGTTCTTATGTGTGTGTTTTTTCACGGATGGAGGGTGTGGGTCCTCGGGCCTTACCTGAAGTCTAGGGGGAGGATGTGTGGCCATACGGTTCCTTCCTCCCCTGATCCCTAGGGGGTTTTCTCTCCGGGAGAACCCCCTTGCCTAGTACTGGATGTCCGGCTTCGGCTGGGCATAAGGAACGGTGGTCCACCAGGCCTTTTGGCCAGGAGGACCAAATGGGAACCTTGTCCCTGTCAGGAGCTTCGTGCCCCGGGGATCGGGTGAACGGTCCAACCCTTTCGGGGGTAGGACAAACACACCCCTAAGTGCACGTTTTTCGTGTGTGTGTTCTTGCACTTGCACTTTTTTGCGGACACTTACGGGTTTTTACGTTATAGTTGCACGTTTGCGGATTAAAAAAAGAAAAAAAAAAAAAATTCATGCAGCTCCTCATATGTGGCATAGAAGTGTGTGCCTCCTAAGTCATACTAGCAATCCTGTCAACTTCTAAAGAGGGAGTCCCCTCTGAAAAAATGTATTCTGATCATAATATCCAGCAGCTGACATTCCTTTATACACGCTGCATGGATGAGGGCATTAATGGAAATTCAAAATGTGTATGGCAATGTACAGCTAGGTGAACAAGTAAAAGCAGGCTGTGCTCTTGCCATGCATTTCTAGGCTCAATTACTTTTTTTTTTTTTTTAGGTGTACAATTAGCATAGGAAATCTTTACTAACAGATATATGTGTAACTATATA